GGTCCGATTTATCATGGGCTATGAGAGAGGGCCTTTTGCCATTTCCCAGGACCTGGCGTGGGGGGCGATGCTGGAGGCACCACCTCAAAAGGTGGGGTGAAGATGGCGAGGTTTTGGGGGGCGTTTGGGGGGAGCGCACTTTGCCATGCGTCTGTGATTTTCGCACCCTGGAAATGGTGGGTGGACCTAAATCCCATTGTAAATGTGATGTCCACCAAAGGTCCACCCAATTAAACCGCATACCCATGTAGAGCAACACACCTTTTTGGGACTCCATGCTGAAACTCAGGATTCCCTGTTGGAACGGGGGTGAGCGCACAACTTAGGTCCAAGAGAGGGGTCTTTGGTGAGCCCGGACGCGGTCTCGCCTTTTGCGAGGTGCAGCCGAAAGTGAAGGTGGCGCCACCCCAGCCTGAGCCGGAATCGGTGCCACCAAAGGTGCGGATGGGCAAGGTGTATGCGGAGGAGGACCATGGCGGGTTGGTGACTTCGGCCTGAAAAAAAGCTACGGAAAGAGCACCAAACAGACAAGGGTAACAAAGGCGGGATCCGCACGTGGAAGTGTGCTCTCCGAGTCCCCTCAAAATAGGCATCGGTTTTTTGGTTTTCCCTTAGAACCACCCCTAAGGGATCCGAGACTCAAACTGAACGCAGGGATCTTGATGATGATTTTACTTTCTGGCAGGTGGAACTGCAACATCTGAACAAAGACGAGTGGTTCGAATCTGCATAGGGAAGTGACGAACAAAACCCTTTTGGGCCGCAGTTTCGATTGGGCTTGCCAGTACTGGAGCGCAGTGGGGCTGGACACCTCCGCTTGGTCGAATTTTTCGACCATCGCAACGGTTCTCGTCGAGGATAACATGACCATGGCGCATTGAAGCAAAGGGTCAATATTGCCCGATAAGTCGGCCACATTCCCCGCAGCCACCGCAAGCTCCACAGTCTGGGTCAATGGGTCAAGCGTAAAAGCCACACACTTCTAGGGGTTGATTCCCCGTTCTTTTCAACCAATTCTTTTCAACCATCGTCCTTTTCGAAAACCAGTTGTTCCCCCCCCAGTTTTGGGTGGATTTTTAGAAAGGAGGATGCCCGGAAAGAATGAGGAAGGCAGCCCCAGAAACATTGAGCCCAAAATTACCTCGAGAGAGACACCTACCCTCTGCTGAATAGTGATTATGGCACATACACCCCCTGCAAATTCACACCCACGGAGATTCCTTTGGCTGGGTTTAGGGTTCAGCTTTGCCTCGTAGGTATTATTGGGGTCTAAACAGGGATTTTCTAAAAACGGCAGGATTTCTGCGTTTCATGTTAATGTGTCAAGGACCCCAAACAGATTCAAATCAGAGAGTTCCCATTGCTTGTAGAGGACAATCATGTGCTGTTCGCATCCGAAAGGAACCCATTTGTTAGAGCCCATTCAACGCGTCATCCAAATCCCGCACGTTCGAACCGAGCCCTGAGGACAATGGGACCAGTGAGGTCCCTGCCAAAAAGATCCAATCCAGTGCGTCCCGAAGCAGCGGAAATAGCAGAGCTGCACGCGCTATATCTCCAAGGACCGAGCAAACACTTGTTTGCCTTCTGTGAAGTTTTAGTGGTGTTTTCTTCGATATGAAGACCAAATGACCATGTGGACAAAGTTGAAACCCGGGTAGTTTACGGTTAGTAGGAGACGCTTCTGACCACAATATAGATTCCTGTTGATTCGTTCGCATGAGTAAACGCTAATATAGGGGGCCAAATATTTTCATACACACACACACAAACACGCATCATTCTCTTGTGATCATGACTTAATTTGGTTTTTGAGTACCTCGGAACCCCAGAACCCCATTCATTGAATGGGGTTCTGGGGTTCTGGTACTCAAAAACCAAATTTTAGGCCCTTTCTTGTGCAAGCTTGACCTTGCCTTTGACTCCCAGGACTGCATAAGACCTCTGAATCGAATTGACCAAATGTCGGTGACTGCAAAATGCAGTGCCGAAGCTTGCCAGGAGAGGCTGCGTGGATGGACAAAAGTAGGCACCAACCGGAATCCAGCAATTCTTGCTTGATTTATGGTGAACCAGCCACCAACGGGGGGCCAACGTCAAGAACAGGATGTTCGCATTCAGCCTCTCAAGTGTTTAGAGGAGATGACGTACCTGTAAGGTGTGTGCCATTCTCCAGCAGTGCTTGCTGCTCGCGTGTTTGAAGAATCCGAGCTTTTGAAGCAAAGCAGTTGAGCAGCGCCCAACTCAGCCAGCAAAACCGAGTCAGGTGGAGTAAGGGATAGTCCCCACCGTCAAATATCCACCCTTTTGAGTGTTTGCCATGGTCATCAGGGCCATTTTATTACGTGCCAGGTTTTGAGTATGACTCACTCCTCCAGAACCCCACCCAAAGATCCAGAGGAAACATGAAAAGAGATGGACATGAGGTTGGTCTCTGAAATGAAAGATGGTTGAACAGAAAGGAAACCGGCCCCTACAATTTCAGTTGTTTTGAGTGTTGTCTTGTATGCTCTCTTGTTGATAAGTGCCTAGAACAGCTTCCTACAAGTAGAAGTCGGCCCTGACTTTTGCGAGCTTGCGCCCTCCAAGATGGTTTTTGAAGCCGCCGAAAAGTGGTACTGGGTCAGCTAGGACATGCCATTCTCCAAAAACATCGCTAGAAGCACATGCCTTGTTCCACTGGCTTTAAGGGGGCGCTGCTTTTTTTGGACTCAGCACCATTTAACCTGTACAGACACTTGTCGTTCCCGCGTGCGCCTTGGGTGCTGCCTGTAGCAATTGCTAAAATGATGTTGCTCCGCAGACTGCGGTCGAAAGGGCGGCATTCTGTATCTGAGGGCTAGAGTGCATACAGTACCTCTGCTTCACACCCTGCATACCTCTTATCTATTCCAAGGAATCCTGTATGGGGCATGTTTCAGGGGCACCGTTCTCTCGGCTTCGGCAAATGGTTGAGCCCGACTGAAACCAAGGTTTGAATCTCAGGACTTCCTGCAGCTTTTCACCCGTTTTTTGATAGCAAGTTTAATGCTCTGCCAGGGCATTGTTTGATTCTCAGATGAACTTTCACCCAGCAGTTCCCCCGTTTGAAGGTATGAAGCCCTGTTTCCTGGCGATGTGGCTTGGGACGCGATCTCTAGAATGTCTTTACAAGCTAAACTCCAAAACAAATATAGCTCTTGCTCGCCAGTCCCCAGCACCGTTCCTTTGCAGAATTGTCAGCTACGCATGTTTTTTCCGGTGCACTCGGATCGACTTGTGAGGGCAGTGGCTGATCATTTGCTTGGGAACGGAGGTATGCAAGCCCACGACGCGCGCGCTCTCTTGCAGATGCTGGAGAGTGGAGAAGGGCTGACCTCGGCAGAGGCGTGGCGTATGGCGCGAGGGGCGTATCTGGTCTTTGTCTTGGGAGCCCTAAAGGAAGTCAGCCGCCCGTGTTTTCTCATTTTTGCGTTCTTATCCTCGTGCTTGAAATGAGCAGCTATTGGTCACCTGCCTTTTGGTGGAGGGTGCCCCGCTCATTCTGGTGGGTTTTTCAAGCAGGGCCTCGCGAACAAACTGGCTGCATGTGGCGTAGAGTCCGCTCAGTTAAAAGACGCGGGTTTATCGGGTCCTGAAACGGGTTTGCTGTCCGGGTAGTGAAAGGAGTCCTAGGAAAGGGATCCTCGAAAGACAGACATGAGCTTCAACGGCCAGAGTGCGGAAGAAATGTTCATAGCCCTTTCAGAGCTGTTTGGAGACATGTTCAGAGCCCTGGACAAATTCAAGCATGTGAGCAGGTGACAACCCCCCCCGAGAAAGGTGATTGGTTGCCATCAATCGCCCTTGTTTGGAGGGCTGTGAATGCCTTGGATTGTGTGAAATCCTCAGAGATACATGGGTGTGTCTCAAGATAAGTGTACGGGTCAAAATTAAACAACCAGCGGACCGCTGGTTTTAGTCCATGTTTCCATTTGTCAGTGTTCCATTTTGGGTACGCATTTTTTTGACCTGCACACATAACCCCCTCAAATTGGGTGCTTTCCCTTTTGTTTCCCTACCCTGAACAATCCGACGAGGCAGCTCTACCAGCCTTTTGAAGCCCAGGAGAGAAGCTCGGACTGGTTCTGCGACTTCGTGCGAAGTCTCAGGCAGAAGGGCAGAAGCCGGGGTTTTCCCGAGGAAAAAACGTGTTGTTTTCTTCCACATGCTGTATATTCCATACTCCTGCGAGTTTTGGGGTTTTGGTAACTTTGGTCGCCAGCTTCGGCCAAGATGCCCAGGAATTGTGAGAGACACAGCCTACATGTCGACCACAGCCAGGGGACGCATCATTTGCCCGTCAAAGGTTGGCGAGCCACATGGCTGTGTTGCGTGTTTCTCAAAGTCCAAACCTAGCAACTGGAGCAACCTTTTTTGTCCATCAGTATCCGGCAAGCTTTTTGTTCGACGGTTTTCCCAAACTTGATTTATCCGCCTTCGAGGGTTTTGAGGGAAGGCCATGGAAATGTTTGCGTTCCGCTCGCGGGTTCTCGCAAGTTCTCGCCAGGCTTTTGGTTGGCTCCGCGGGAAGCCAAGAGGGTTCCCCGGCCAAGGGCTCTTTTCGCGGATTCTTCTCTCCGATCGCGCCAAGCGGCGGGAGCCGGTCTTGGGGCGAAAGAAAGGAGCTCAACTAGGACCGAAGGCCAGAAACGATGCGAGGTTTCGCGCTAGCGCCACTATCACCTAGGTGTCGCCCAAAGGGGTGCGCCTGCGCCCCAGTGTGTGGTTCGCCGTTTTCGGGTCTGAGGCATGGTCAAAGGGAAATTGCAGCCAGAAAGATCGCGGCCTTGAGGAATCCAAAAGCTTTCGTTGATGAAAACGAGTTGTTTTCTTTCTGTTAGCGCCCTGCTAAAAGCAAAGTGAATCTGTGGGTGCGGAACTTTGATGTGATTTCATGCCCAGCAAGTCAAAACTGCCAATTCCAGGTAAAGTGAAGGACGTTGCTGGGGCCTTTCCGCTTCTGGTTTTCTCTCACAGAGGCCGCGGGCATTTGGTGCACGCCTTCCCGGGCTCGCTGCTGCAAGAGCCAGATCGCTCAGAGGGGTCAGGGCCGACGGGCGACTTGCAGCAGACTCTGTCGCAGGGCTCCTTAAGAGATCTCCATTTTGCCACCACTTGAAACGTGGCTTTTTCCACCAAAATGCTGTTTGCAAGGCAATGTTCAGGTGTATAATGTAAGGATCCCTGCTGCATCTTCTACAACCCGGGGGGGGGGGGTTCAGGGTCGGGCAGTGGGTCGCTTAGGCGTCGCGCGAATGGTTCGCTTAGGGATCGCGCAAATGGATCGCTCCGGGATCGCTTTTTGCAGAAGGCTTGTCGCGCATGCATGCGTGTTGATATGTTTGCTCGCGATGTATGTTTATATACGCGCATGCGCGAGCATGTATGCGCTTGTTTGTGCTTGTCGGCGCGTATATCGCATGACATATGTGACGTGTATGTTTCATGACATATGTTACTATGTATGCTGGCGAGTCCATGTATGTGGTTGTGTGCATGCGTGTTGACATGTATGCCCTGCGGCGTATGCCCCAGAACCCGATGAATTTGCACATTAGGTTACAGAGCAGGCTGGGCTGGTTCAGTTGAGCGGGTGTGCTTATCATCCCCCCCACCCCACCCTCCACCCCCAGAAAGAGATGCGTTTGCTGGGATGAAGCAGTTCAGCGGTTGTGCTTATCATGCCCCCATTTCGTTACAGAGCAGGCTGGGCTGGTTCAGTTGAGCGGGTGTGCTTATCATCCCCCCCCCACCCCACCCCCCACCCCCAGAAAGAGATGAATTTGCTGGGATGAAGCAGTTCATTATCATGCCCCCCCCCAAACCAACCCCCCCCCCCGCAGAACCATGCTATTTTGTAATCCGGTAACAGAGCAGGCTGGTCTGCAGCAGTTGAGCGGGTGTGCTTACCATGCGACCCCCCCACCCCCTCCCCAGAGCCATGTTACTTTGTAATCGGTAAAGGAGCAGGGTCTGCAGCAGTTGAGCGGGTGTGCTTATCACCCCCCCCCACCCCCTCCGCAGAGCCATGTTACTTTGTAATCCGGTAAAGGAGCAGGCTGGTCTGCAGCAGTTGAGCGGGTGTGCTTATCATCCCCCCCCACCCCCTCCCCAGAGCCATGTTACTTTGTAATCCGGTAAAGGAGCAGGCTGGTCTGCAGCTGTTGAGCGGGTGTGCTTATCATCCCCCCCCCCCCACCCCCATCATCAATGAATGTGATCCCTAAGTGATCCGTGAATGTGATCCTCAAGTGAGCGTGTATCCCTAAGTGACCGTGATCCCTAAGTGAACCGTTTGAGCGATCCGTAAGTGACCTGTTTGCCGTCAGGGTGCCCTATGCTATGTTCTGTAGCCTGAACAACACGACTCAACCAGTTCTCCGGGTTCTCATCCCAGGTTCTACACCACGGATGGAAGTGGCACGTGTGTGGCGCAGGCGCACCGTGCATCGGGCGAGTGCTTCCAGGTACTATACCAGGTGAAGGAATTCACTTCGCTTTGCTCGTGAGTGTTTGTCTCCAGCGATCAGGTTTGACAAAAGCGCATGGTAGGTTTCCCGCGTAGCGGCTATGCGCGCATGCACGCCCAGGTTTCCCGCGCACACACATGCACATGGAGCCCCCTTCCCAAGGTCCCACTCCAAGAATCCCAAAACGGTCCTTCAGTTCCTCCAAAAGACGCAGCCAATTTATTGCTTGTTTGGGTATGGGTCAAAACTACTCACCACCAGGAGTTGACCCGCGGGTTTTTAGTTTCCATGTTTCCATTTAGGGCAAGTCCCATTAGGGGCGTGGAATATTAATCCATGGAATTTCCATGGGCAACGGCAGGACGTGTACCAGGGCCTGGGTTGTGCTGCCCTGGCGGACGCGGCCTCCATCCTGGTTGCTCGGTGGAAAGCGCGCTTCAGCAGGGTTTCCTTTTGGCATCACGAAACAACAGTCATTTGGGTGTGTCCCAGAATATGCTATGGACTTCCATTAAAACATGGTGGCCTTCCTTGATAATCCATGTTATGGACCCAGCAAGCCAGTGCTTGTTGCTGGTGGTGGGATGTATCACAAAATCGTACCTGGGCCATAACAGATTGAGGGGCTTTTGTTCGATTCGGATGTGAAGGTAATCACCGATCCGGACCCGAATCAGCAAAAGATCCTCACACCATCTCAAAATTAGGGATAGAGGGTAAATGGAAAACCATCCCTAACCTCCAAACCACCAATACAAGCCACTTATTAGGGGAAGCTGACCTGTGGGTGGTTTGTTTCCTTCCCTGTGGGGGGCCCTGCTTTGAAGACCCAAGTGAGAACCACACTGGTTGAAGATAGTGACAGAAGGCCTTTCTTTTTCTGGCCTTTCTACCTGACTTGGAGAGTTGCCCAACCCAGCTCCGCAGCAACACAAGTCGCAGCGGCTATGACGTTACATTGTCCGACTGCCTCAGACATGGGTGAGTGGGCATCCCCTTGTTTTCTGATGTGCGCCAAAGGGTCCCCATTTAAGCTGCATACCCCTTACGCAAGGTTTCCCCCGTTGAAGTTGACCTCCCATTGTTTCAATGAACCTTTGGTTTCCTTCGCATAACTTTAGATCTGGTTGCTAGAACAGGGATGCAGGACTTCAGCCCCCGCGGTGAACATTGGTTTTGTTCCTTTGGCGCCCCTGTCTTTAGGTACTAATTTTCCACCCTTGTGACGATCAAGTCTTTGGATCATCCCTGTTAGGCATTCCCCATATTTAAGGGTAGTCTGTAGGCAACGCCTTGTCGGTCTCATCTATGACCTTGTGGTTGAAATCGTTTGAGTTCCCCTCAGCCTGATGTTGCTGGCCATGGTTGCTGCCTATGTGTTTTTTCCTTTTTTTTTGGTCGTTTTTTAGGGGTGGGACCCACCTAAGTGGCCGGACCTTGTCGCCCTACCTGCAGACGTCATGCCCTGCTCGGCCAGGAGCTCCTGGCTGCGGATGGCCACGAGCTGCAGCTGGAGGCGGTGGAGGCGAGGCGCCGGGCCGTGGGGCGGGCTGGTCCGAGTTGGTACTGTTGCCGCCTTTCCGAGTTGGAACACCAAAATCAGTCTATTTTGTGGGGTCCAAGTTCCTATTCCGCACGGGGTTCCCTTGTCTTTCCCCTTTGGTCTCAGAGATCACGTTGTGGGACTTGACATGAGTTTCCTTGGGAGAGTGCGACCGCTGCGCTGCGAGGGACATGAATTTGGAGCCCCGTATCATATATATATATATAGTGTCAAAATAGGGGCACCCCCAAAATGGGTGGTCCAAGGTTTTCCCTTTGGCTTCCCTTTAACCCCAGAAAGTGCCTCAACAAAAACACCGCCACATAGAAATCCTCACGCCCGTCCAAGATGACAGTGCTCTTCCAAGCGCACGAGGCAGCGTATGTTTGTTTTGGCCAGGATGACCTTTGGCAGAACCACAGGGGGCGGCCTGTGTGCAGTGGTCAAAGTCTCATTTGCTGGGGATTTGTCGGGGACTATCATCAAGCCCTTGCTGTGGAACTTCGACAACCATATTAACTGATCACACCACTTTACGCGGTTCATGTCAACGGCACTCAAACCATGAGCCACATGACACGAGGTTTGGTTGTGATATCCAGCAGTCTGTACACAAGGAAAAAGCAAAAACTCACCAAAACCACTAGGACACATTCAGTTTCTCCGAACGCCTGGCGGATGCAACCATAGGCGTCCGTTTTAGGTCAGTTTGGTTGAACATAGATGGTTCCGCTGGTTTAGGTGGGTCTTGTTGAAACTTTTCACCAGGGCCATCTATTTGTCCCAAAGGAACCGCCATGGATGCAACGACTTAGGACCCCCTCCTGGCCGCAGCTCCCGGCTCCGCGCGCCAGGCCAGCTGCGCTGCCGGGGAGTTCTTCGTGTGGCGCAGGGATGAGGCGTGACGGAGTGGGCGAGCAGAGCAGGGAATCCGAGAGCTTCGAACAAAGTTTCGCGTGTTTCAAGGGGGAAGGTGGTGACCTCTCAAGTTCCATGAGTCCCGGTTTCCCTTTGGTGATCTCGAGGTAAGGAGGACAAGACCTGTAGAAATGCGGGCACCTCTCAACCAAATGGAGGAAGTCTTTCTGGAGCACAGAAATGCGATTTAAACCCCGGTCAACTTGGTGCCTTAGGTTTCCCCCAAGAATTCAGCTCCATGCAAAACGTGATCCCAGAGGTGCATCAAATTACCTGGGTTCCCATTCAAGAGAGGTGGTGTTTCTTAACGGGAGAAGCGCGGGATTTTGGGTAGATGATTCCTCTGATACTGGACTGGATGGACGAAATCCATGTCGCGTCACTTTGAAACCATGGTTGAAACCTGCTGCTTATTTTGGTGGGCAGGATTCCGTCCATCCACGGCCGGTCTGGTGGCAAATGTCGGATCAATCAACCTGGCAGATGGTTGGGGTGCGGTTCGTTCCCTGAAATGGGGGGCTCCTTCTTTTCAAGGTTTGTTCATGGTTGCCATCAGTGTGGTTCCTGCTTTGGTGTTTCTTCAAAGGGCAACCAAGGGAAACCGGCTCTTGGGCTTTTCTCCTATTTCTATGGGAGGACATCAGGGCCATTGCTTCAGTTCCCTACCCCAACCAGCAGAATCATCCGGGAAACTCAAGCCAGGGTCTCCCGCGTGTCCTTTTCGCTTCAGCGGGGCAAGTGCAGAAGGTGACACCATAGATCGCATGTTTTGCTTTGCTGCTTTATTCCAGCTGTCTTCGCCTTTCTTGGCCTTTTCGCGTCAATCAGGAAGATGCACCAGATTCTGCTGCCGCCTCCAGCTCCAATCTTCGCGCCGCATGTGTCAGATTCCTCCCATTCGTCAGATTCGTCAGGCGTGTATCGGTTTCTGCTCGAAGGGCATACAGAATTGAGTCACTCAATTATTATGCAACGCTCCTCAAGTGACGATGCTTCAACAAGACTCCCGGCATACGCTTTTCCTTGCCTGGCAAAGAATGTCGACTCCGAGTTTTTGTTTTCTCCGGGCTGTGGCTCGCTCGCTCGCTCGCTCGCAGGTGGTGCTGGGCTGCGGGCAGCTGGTGGCCCACGTCTCCGAGGGCCTGGTGGCGGAGCTGCGGCACCTGAGCTGCGCCCAGGGCGCCGGGGGGCCCGGCCCAGGGGCCCAGAAGGCCGCTGGATATTTCTTAGGCCAATTTGGTTGGCGTGTAAAGGGAAATTTCAAGACACCAACCACTTTGAAGGGTCGCAGTTTGAGAAGACCCCGGATCTTCATCAACCAACCAGTTTATTAGTGGGGGGTGCTTCTCCTTGGGTAAAATGTGGCTGGAATCAGACCTCTTTTGGAGGGCGGGGCATCATCACTTTTGGAGGGTGTTCCTGGTTTTTGCGGGGAATCATCACTTTCGGAAGGGAACACCCCATGTAATGAACTGGGGTTGTTTAATATTGGGTCAACATTAGCAAGCTGTGGCCTGCCCCTCCCCCCCAGCAAACAGAGGATAAAGAGGACACGAGGGAGGTAAGCTTTGCTAAGATGGAAAGGCGAAGAGGAAGAACGCGCGCGCATGCAAGCGCGCGTGCGGATAGATGCAGTTTTAGCACTAACTTAGTGCGGCAAGAACCCACCCTTTTGATTCTTTGCCACGGTTTTGGGTAGACCCTTTTTGTGGCAAGCCTTGAGAATGACTCGCATCAAAATGGGCTAAAGTGTTAACCGTAGGTGGTCGCTTGTCTTGACTCTTTGTAAGTATCCACTTGGGCCACCATTTTGGCTCAAGTGGACACTTCCCTTTTGTCTTGGAATCTGAAATTTCTCATTCCCCTCCTATCAAAGCCATGTACACCCCCGCCTATGCTGGTGCCGCGGTTGCAGAGGCTAAGGCGAAGGCGAAGGCATCCATGGCGAAGTACCTGGCAAGCCTTGTGAAAAAGGAGGAAGAAGGTTGGACCGTCCTGGCGGCTGAGGTCCCTCAGGCACCGGACGAACGGTTCTTCTCCAGCGCCGACGAGCTGGAGCAAGCCCCACTCATCCCAGCCAAGCGTAAGGCCGAGGACGAGCTGATGGCGGACTCCCCCCCTGGGGTGGCGCAGGTGCCGAAGGCCCTGACACGCCCCCCAGGGGCGTTCCTGGAGCTTCTCGACCCTCCAGAGCCGGATGTTCCCATGGAGGAACTCCTGGCGGAAGACGAGGAGGAGCCCCCGATGGAGGAACCCCTGGCGGAAGATGAGGTGGACCCCCCGATGTCCGACACCAAGTGGCAGGGACGCCAGGACCTTATGGAAAAGGCCAGGGCGCAGGTGTCCTCGGAGGGGGATGAGGACCCCGCAGCCCCCCCGCCAGGGGGAAGCGTCTTCACCAAGGCCCTCAAAGTCTCTGAGGGCCTTTACCAATTCAGTGCGGACCAGATGGCGGGCGACTTCCCGTGTTTTGATGGGACCACGGCCGCCAGGCTCCGACGACTGCAGGCCAAGGATGTCCAGCGGCTCTTGAGAGGCTTTGAGGGCCCCCAACTCAAGCAGGGGGGCCTGGAGCGCGTGGTGGAGGCGTTCTACATCGCCAAGATGAAGTATGAGCATGAGGCCCTGCTCAGCACCCCGGGACAGAAGGTTGGCAAGCGCGCTGGCCTGGGGTATGGGGGCCTTGAGAACCGCCCCCTGGGTAAGGAGCCCACATCCTGGATCTGCCCCTGCTGCACCATGCCCTGGGTGAAGAAGGGCGCCAGGAAGTGTATGGGGTGCGGCAAAAAGACGGAGCCCATCGACACGGCGTCCAACTTGGCCACCCTGGAAATGGCGGGCACGCACTGGCAGCTGACAGTGGATGACCAGGGCAATGCGGTCTGGACGGCGGCCCGGTCCGCAGGTGCCGATGGCCCTGACACGGACCGGGCCCGCGACCTCAAGCTCAGCGCCTCGGTGGATGTCAGCGAGCTGGCCACCGACCCAATGGCATGCGAGAACCTGGACCAGGCCAGCTTCTCGGATTTTGTCCCCTCCTCGGTCCGGGCGGTGATCAGGAACTGCCCCATGGAGCTGGACGAGGATTTCCTGACGGCCCCAATGGGGGAAAGGCCCCCGTTGCCGGGCGACAAGGAAGAGGGCCAGGAGTGCAGGGCCTTCCACCCGTCGGCAGTGAAGGCCTTCAAAATCCAGACCCGGCTCAACGCCACCACCATCGCCCAGGAAGAGGCAAAGAAGGCAGACCAGGTGGCAGCGGTGGAGCGATCTGCGGCGGTCCTCCACGAGCTCCAAGGAGGGGCCATCGATGGAGGAGGCGATGGGGGACAACTCCTCAAGAATTTGGACTTGGACCTTTTCCGCGAGAAACTGCTGGATAAGCTGGGCGCGGACTGGGGGAGGCCCACACCGGAGCTCCTCCAGGCCCAGACCACTGCGGAAGAGGCGAAGGCAAAGCACCAGGCCAGACAAGCGAAGGGCGCCCTCGAGACCAGAATGCTCGAGCCCATCAAGCCTCCATTCAGTGCGTGGCCTAGCGAGGTCCGAGTTGCCATTGAGACAGGGGTCTTTGAGCCGACCACGGCATGGAGGGATTTCAGCATGGACGACCTCACGTCCCTCACGGACTCCTACCTCGAAGCCAAGGCGGTCATCTCGCTGGGTAGGAACCCCTTTCCGGGGGCCCTCCTGGCAGATCTGCCGGATCTGGCGGGGATCCCCATTCCAAAGGCGGGGGGCTCTGGTGCGGCGCGCCCAGGTGCCGAGGGCCCTGACAGGCAGCCCACCATCCCCCCAGCTTCGGGCTCTGGTGCGACGAGCTCAGGTGCCGAGGGCCCTGACAAGCCGTCCGCCACCCCGGGGGGCCTGGACACCCAGGACCCGGAGGTGCAGCTCGGGGTCCTGCGCTGGATGATGAGCAAGCGTGTCGGAGAGGTCCGCATCTTTGCGGGCCGCTGGGTCCGACGACCGGGGCCCTTACACGTCCCGGACTGGGCCAACAACCTGACCAAGGTGAATCCGGAGGCGCTGGAAAAGGGTACGCATCCCAGGAACCACCAGGCGGGTGGACTCCCATGGGCCAGGTACTCCGTTGAGGAGCTGAACCAGCAGGCCAAGGCGGGGGACCGACCATACCCCGAGGACCTGCGATCCATCTTCTGGGCGGCCCCCCACGATCCGGAGGAGGACTTCCACTGGACGCGCCAGATCTCGTCCTGGACACTCCCAGGCTTGCTGGGGATGTTTGGTCACAGCTTCACTCTGCGCCAGCTCTGGGGAGTCTGGGAGTCTCTGCCATTGCTTCAGGGCCCTAGGCAGCGGGGCCCGAAGAACAAGGCCCAGAATCAGATCCGCCTGGAAGGCTGGGAGACCCTGAAGGAAGATGCTCGGTGCTTCCTGAAGGAGGAGGGCCTTCCGCTTCCGCAGACAGGACCGGAGTGGCGCCTGGTCTACCGGGCCATGGGCAAGGTCCTTGCGGCCCGGGCCTTCCTCACGGACACCCCGGCGGAGGTAATGCAGCTCCCGGTCCAGGACGTGGCGGACTCCAAGGAACAGATGATCCTCCGGGCGGTATGTGATGAGCGCATATCGGTCCCGGTGGAGAGTCTCCAGCAGTTCCCAGAGGTGTACCAGGCCCTCATGGACCGCATTGGAGGCCCGGGGGCCCTGGCGGAGGTGAAAGTCAACTGGCGCTGCAACACGAAGCAGTGGTGGGTCGGCGCAGTCCCCGACTCAGTGGCCCCCTCCATCTACCGCAAGCTTGGCTACACCAACGACATGATCAAGCTGATGGGCCTGGACCCCTCCGCCCCCGGGTGCCGGACAGGTGCCGATGGCCCTGACATCCGCCCCAGGGGAGGAGAGGGCGATGAGGGGATCGTCTACCCCCCCATCACATCGGACAACGTCCACGGCGTGGTGGGCAAGGAGTACAAGAAGAAGAACTTCTCGGCAGAGACGAAGCACGTCTTCTGGGCGCACATGGAGTGCGGCCTGGTTCTGAGCTCAGTCACCCCATGGGAGCTCATCCCCAAGACGAAGGGGGAAACCCGGGGGGGCTATATGTGCAAGTACTGCAAGGGGTACTGGCGCGCCGGGGGAGGGGGCACTCGCCTCCTCCAGATCCGGGCCGGCAAGGCCATCCTTCAGCTGGTGCTGGACGAGCCGCCCGATGGACTGTACAACCGCTGGGTCAAGGAACGGCTGGAGTTCTACCGCCGGGTAGAGCCGTCTGCCCCGCTGCGGGATGTCTCCGTGGTGGACCAGAAAGTCCCACGATTTAGGTTCAGCCACGTCACCCAGACCGGCCATGTCTCAGATGCCATCTGGGAGCTGATTCTCCGGAACCCGGAGGCGGCGGCGCTCAAGCGCATTGACGACATTGCCAAGGGGGCCGTGTGATCATGCAACACTGCGGCCATCCGGAACGGAATTGCAGGGCACCCCGGGGGAGGACAGCTGCCGATGGCGCTGATATCCCCCCCGGGCACAGCACAGGCCTTGGCCTGCACCAGGCGAGAAAAAGGGGCGCGCTTGGGCTGGTCCGGAGTGCGCCTGGGCTCCCCCCCCCCCCCTCGTTTGGTTTTCCCTTTCCGTGGAGGCTCCCCGGGTCCCCCCCCCCCCGTTTTCGGGTTTGGCTTTCCGGGGTTTTTGGGGCCGCCCGGGTTTCACTTTCCGGAGTGGATGTGGGCCTCCAACGTCCGGCTTCGCGAAAAGACCCCGGACCCGTCCAAGAAGCGATCTGCCGCATGCATTGAGTGAAAGAGAGACCCGGAAGAGGACTTGGGGCCCCCCGGGGCCTTTTCCCGAATCTCTCTTTTGAAGTGCGTGCAAGGCGCCTTGAGATTTGGCTCCGGGCTCGAGTGGATCATGATGATGTGGAGGCCCCGCCTCCCTTCCCCGTTTGGAACGACCTTCCTAGGGGTCCCAACCGCGGTCCAGTTGATTTTGCATGACCTTGGATTTGCACCAGTGCAGTCGGACGGGGAAATCCTCGTGGCGTGCTGCCTGGAATGGGTCAAAAAGGACCAGGTTGCCAACCCGGATGCGGTGGTCTTCGACCCGCGACCGTGGACACGAATCGTGGGGATGGCACCCGACGATAACCATGTCCTGGTGGCCTCGGACACCTACAACTTGATCCTCGCAAGGATACTCGGCTCCCAACCACAACCGCTGGAGG